ATGAACTTGAAATTGCACTGGATCATGCAAATAAGGCGAATGCGGATTCAATGAAGAGTTTGAAACGTTACACTGAACAAGTTCGCGAAATACAACTTCAGGTTCGAGATTCACATCAGAGAAATATTTTTGAAGATGTCGAAAAGCAGAACTGTCCAATGACAGAAATACAATTCGATCCCAAAAAATGATCATATCTCGATGATTATATTCTTACTTAATATTACTTTTTAGCATAAATCGATGAGCAACCAATGATACTGCTTCAAAATCGCCGCTGTATTGATTATTATCTTTTCATGAGCGTAGTTATTGTAATCATATTATCATCTCAGCTGATAATATTTTTCGAATGATATCCTCACGCAGCCATTTGAAGATCGAAGAAGAGCAAAGACAACGTGATGAGATGAAAGAGCAATACTATGCAGCCGAGAAACGTGCGACGATCCTAGAATCTGAAAAGGAAGAATTAGCAGCCTCCTGTGATCAGGCCGAACGTGCTCGCAAGCAGGCTGAACTTGATGCCAGTGATGGACGTGAACAAGCCAATGACTTGATCGCGCAAGTTAATAGCTTGAACGCCACAAAGAGACGAATGGAAGGGGAACTCCAGGTTATAATCTCTTTCTGGTTTAAGACTCATCACCTAATTGCTCTATTCAAATCCCATTAAGAGAGAATGAGAAAGGACTAGTGGACGGTAATCATGACAAGTTGACTAAATTATCTGAGAAAATTTTAATGACCGTAAGTTTGAGTTAAGAGGACGGCACCACAACGGGGATCGAACTAACGACAACTCTCTCGATGATCATCAATTGTCGATTCAGTCGATGATATTGATTGATCATTAGATCAATCGTTGATGATCACTTTCATCGTCATCTATTCAGTTGATTGCTGCTTATTGCAGGCGATCCATGCAGATCTCGACGAGACCTTGAATGAGTACCGTGCCTCCGAGGAAAGCAGCAAGAAGGCGATGGCTGAGGCCGAAAGACTTGCCGAAGAAGTACGAAAAGAGCAGGAACATGTGACACAGGTTGAACGATTGAGAGTCAGCATTGAAGCACAAATCAAAGAGCTTCAGGTTCGTAACTCTCATTTCATTTACTATTCAAAGAAACGGACTCAACCTAATCGCTCACACACACACGAGATTTCGCTCTGAAGAAGAAGAGTAGATGAAGTAATTTTGAGTGGATAAACAGAAATAATTCTCAATTCGATACCTCATAAAGCTATCTTAGGGCTTATGAAGAAAATATCTTGCATCTGGATACTAGCTGATCAGATTGCTACATTCAGATGACATCAAGTTAAAGGTAGGGAACACGCAA